GATGATGATGATGATGATGATGATGATGATGATGATATTGTCCTTACAGGTGCTTTTAACACTGAAGATCGCTATGGTTTCTGCTGCTGTATCGACTATTTCTCCATTACTGAGAAGTACCACTAAAGTTCTTCCTATTAGTTTGTCATTCTTACATCTGAGACCTGTAGCACAGTGTTATTGCACAGTGAATGGGTAGGTTTTAAAGTTTGAAATTCTTTTAAACTGGACAAAAATAGTTATTCTGGGAAATATTGAAACTTGTATTAATGGACAAAATTTAAGCATTACACTATTTTGTTGATTAATTAACATCTTTTAATTAATTCAAAAGTTGCTCCTGATTATTTACTCAGCAGTTTTCTTTCCTTTGAAACCTAATTATATTATTATTATTTTCTCTATAAATACAACACTAAAACAACAGTTATTCAGAACATCGGACATACTAGGTTGACATCTCATTCTTTTTTTACAATCAATAACCATATTCAATTCTATGCATAGTCCCGTTTCTCTAACCATTTTATGTACACAACAACCCTGTGAGGTTGCTTAGGCTGAGAGTCAGTGACTGGCGCAAAGTTACCCAGTGAGCTTCATGACTGAGTGGGAACTAGAACCTGGTCTTCCAAGTTCCAGGCCAACACACTAACTATTATTCCACATTGGCAGATTCTATCAAATACTCAAATATATTTTATCTCTTTTCATGTAAGATTTCATTAATAGAATGGCAATTCTTTTAAGTTTACAAACTTAGATATTTGCCTGCTATCTTCATGTGTCATCTGGATTTCATCTGTTATTCTTCATGCCTCAATGTCTGCCTCTTCTCTCTAATCCTAAGCATGTTTCTTTTGGAGTGGAGCACCTTTGCTAATTTGTTTGAGAATTCTTTGCATAGTTAGTTTGATTTTAATGAAGTAGGAGATACAGCAGTAAAATTCCTTCATTTAAAGCTAAAAGTTGCTATAAGGTCTGAGGTCTGTTAGCAGTAGGTTTGGGGCAGACTCAAACACATGGTGGGCCATGTGTTGGATCACCCCATTCTAGATGCATCTTGCTTTTAACTGTTTGGGAAAATGCTAGATTAGATGAATGCAACTACTCTAGCAAGATAATTCTGACATTCTTGGCCTTAATTTGTTTTTGCCTTTTCTGGTGAGACTGGTGTTAGTTAAATGGCCCTTAAGAACCTGTTCTATTAAAGCTATGAAACACAGTTGGGAATGACAGATTTTAATTTGTATTTTATTTAAAGCAAAATGAAATCCAAAAAAAAGCTGGATCATCTGGAAAGAACTGCAAATGACTTTCGGCAGGAGGTTGGTATTATACTGTACAGTTATGAAATGTATTGTGTGTGTTGAAGAAACTGGATAGTTTTACTGGCTTAGCCCTTCTATCTGATAATTCTGTTTCATTTGTTATATTTTTGTGATTACTTATTCTGGAGTACTTGGTAAATATCATCTGCCTCTCTAAGAACAGCTAATGATATTGAAATGAAAGATCTTGCTGTAACAAAGCATAGGCAAATGAAAAGTTGAGTTCCTCCTGACTTACTCTGGTGACATTTGTGACCGTGAGCTGTGTTTATGGTGGATTGTAGTCACGTTTTTTTCCTAGACAAGAAAAGAAAAACCAGTGATCAAGCAAATAAATTAGGTATTCAGTCCTCAGAGCACTAGCTGCGCTAGAGCTTTTTTTGATATTTTTTTCCCCAATGATGAACCATAATATTTACTAAATTTTAGACCAAGAACACATTTGATACTGAAACCTTTTGGAACTCTGCCTCAAAATTGTAGTGTTTCTTCCACCTCAGCTTTTTCTATTGATTTAATAAAGCACTGTAAATTAGCTACGTTGGTCTGTTGTGAAAGAAATCCAAAAGCCTCAGTAATATGTTTATATTGGCCAGCTCCAATGTCACAATATCATGAGAAAGTCTTTACATTCTTCAGAGTCTTCATTAGGATAGAAGTTGAATAAAAGTGGGATGTGGGAGAGAAAAAAACAAGGCATGATGTTGCTTCCCAAACTTTGCATTTTGTAACATTCATAAAATGGAGCACAAGCAGCATTAAACAGCTTTGTTGCTATGGTTGTGCTTGTTAACAATCTAACCACCAGATTTGCTTTAATAGAGATCCCAGGCCTGTTCAAAGATAATTTTGGCAAATCATGGGTTAATTAATCCATGATTTGACAGAGCATTCTACAGCCTCCAAATGGGAGATGCTACATCACATCCAAACCCTATAAATGATTGTAAATTAAACAACCCACAGCTAACCTAACTTTAATAAATGCATGATTAACCTGTAGTATCTGGGTTCAGATATCATGTAGCAATCTTAATTGGAGTTGAATACTAAGAATGACATGTACACTCTCACCATAGCAAATTGTAGGTAGATTTTCTGCCATTACATATTATTTTATTTTATTATTAAATGTATTCTCCGCAACCAAATTAGTCCAACAGGACTCTCTGGGCAGATACAGAGCATAGAACTAGGTCACTCTGTGACATCACTTTGATAAGTGGGCACTGTATATTTACACATCTAAAAGATTGAGGAAGAATACAGTATAGAGTACATAAAGAAGTAAAACACAACACTGTTCTTATATTTAGATTGCCCTGGATCAAAGTTGTTTTCTATAACCCTTCATATGCAGCACCTAGTAATACCTTTGTCCTCAAAATAGGTCATAAATTAATGATGAAGAGAGAAAGGCTATATACTCATTTCCTACTCAGAGACTTTTGCCCTAGGGATAACATTGAACAAGTATCAAAAAGGCAGTAGATTATTTCGTAGTATAAGTGTTTTTTAACACTGCATTTTAAAGTGAAGAAAAAGTATGATAGCTTTTAGTTGGCAAGTGCCCTGTTGTTTTACTGGACAGTAGACATGTTCAAATATTTTATGGAGAAATTCATTTCCTGCCATATGCTTTAAATTAAAATGTAGCTGGTTAAATTTCATTTGTTGGACTCCGGTCCCTCTGGATGGGAAATGACAGCTGTAACTGTAGATGAATGAGACTGTGTCTTTTTAATCTATATATGTATTTTTGGACCTGCATATGTCATCTTAAGAACCTAGTTTTTCAGTATATTAAAATTTGATGCTATAGTTTTAAATGATAATCCTGTGATTGGATTGAGAGGTTGTGAAGGTTAGGGAGAATAAAAGTCACTTTTGAGCAACAGATTAGACCTGGGTTATTTAATGACTACAATCATGGTTAGATTATTGGATTAATATTTGAGAGAACTTGGTTCAAATCCCCACTGCAGTGAAGTTTGCTGATTTTAAACCAGCCACTGCCACAATAATCTTGTGAGATTCTAAGTTTGTAAGCCGTCCTGAGATGCTGAGGCATGTGGTGTCAGCATGTAAAAGTTTTAGATAGATAGATGGATGGATGGATAGATAGATAAGGTTGGATTATGAAAATATATTTTCGTGAGAGTTGGGCATGAAGTACTGCTCTATGTCCCCAGAGGAAGGAATAAAAAGTAATAAATATTAAAATACTAAATATTAAACTGAAAGAAAATGTAATTGCTGTTTTCTTATAATCTTTCCCTTAGACCAAGCATAACTAGCATTTCAGAGGAGCACAATAATACAAAGATCTTAAGCTTGCAGAGATTTTTCCAAGTTCAAAGTGTTCAAACAAAAATGAGGCAGCAAAGTGAAATTCTTAATAGTTAAAGAATAAAATAACCAAATTGCAATCCTAAACACACTTAATGTGTGAATAAGCTGCACTGTACCTACATAGTGAGATGCATATGAGTATGCATAGGATTACACTACAAACCTGTGATAGTAGTTTACTTGGCTATTGAAAGTCTAATCTGTCCCAATTCAATATTGGAGGAATATCTGCAAGAAATATGGGCAATGTTCACTATTATGTGCCTTTTCTAAGATGATGGTAATGACGCTTTTTCATTTCATTTTTTTCTGTACTGCCCCACAGCTGAATTGTTCTGGGCAGTTTAAACAATCCATAAAACAGAAAAGAAAATACAATAAAATATCATAAAAGCGGAAAAAACATTAAAAAATTTAACATAGCTAAAACAAACAAGAACAAAGGATGACTCTGCAAAACACCTGGAATGGGTATTCCCCTCAGGCCCCTGGGTATCTAAGTAAATCTTTAAAGGCCCTAGCATGAACAGCCATCTTAACCTGGTGCCAAAAAGATGAAAAACTTGGCCACAGCCAGGCCACAGTGGGGAGACTGTTCCATAGACAGGGGGCCACCACAGAGAAAGTCCGTCCCCCCTTGTTTCCCACTTCCATGCTTCTCTCAGAATTGGCAGTTAGAGGAATGCCTCAGAGCTTGAGCATTGCGTCTGAGGAGGTGGAGGTTGGAAGAGGCTCTCCACGTATTTTGGTTGCAAGCCATGTGAGGCTTTATTGGTGGTGATTTTTTTGTCTTTTAGATTATTTCTAAAGCAAAAGTGTGTGGAATCACCAATGAATCTGAAACTGTTAAAAGACTCCGATTGGCAGTCGCAGATGAGGAGTTTACTTTTAAGGCAGGACAATGGTAAGGTTCTTTGTTCTTGATGTAGCAAATGGAGGGAAAACTCATAAGTGCAAGCCTAAATTGATGATACATTTACGCAGTTAAATCCAAGTAGCCCATTTCTGTGATATTTCATGGTGTGAAGGTTTTTCCTCTAGTCAGCTTTGTATGAAACAATTAGTAAAACTGATATGGAAATATGTCCAGTTTTTCTTTGTATGGAAATACCATAAACCTCAGTTGTAACTACCTTTGATTACCATTCTTGTTTTGCTTTGTGCTATATTTTTCTTGAGAGGGTCATACATAAGAATCCCTTACCCGTAGTCCAGTCTTCAAAGCATTGTCTGCAGGTGATTAAAGTAGTTTTATGTTTGTTACCAGCTGTATGGCAAAAGGATAATTTGATATCCTCACTCCACTGTACCACATACCTATTTCCAGGCAAACATAAACTTTTCAACTGTGTATCATATAGCAAACCTATTTTGAAACTTTTGGGGCATTCAAAAGCCAGGTTGTGATACGATGTTTGGGAACCTGCCATTCAAAGAAGAAAAGGTCAGTAATTGCACAGGGAATGCCCACAGCATTGAGATCTTTATATCCCAGCCAGTGGGTTGGATCTAAAGGGACTCCCCTGCATGGGGTTCTGTGCCTCTCACTAGAACATTGTGCAAAAAAAAAGTGAAACTAATTTCAAAGATATTTTACCTGTATAGGAGCTTCTGCAACTTCCTGCCCATGTGGATGGATGAGAACTGCTCTGGAACTCACCTGTCATAGCATTGCATTCTCTCTTGTGCAAACATTGGTAGTGCTTATTTTCCTTTCTGGTCAAATTTCATTGAATCCAACCTGTGGCTCTGATCATCTTACTGAACATGACACATTAGATTTTGTTACTTTGGTGATTGGAGAAATAAAGGCCTTTTGTCAATATTCAGATGATGCATTCGGGCTTAATTGGATTCCGGGCATGTCAGTCTGGTTAGATCTTCCACCCCCATTTTTCCCCCCATTTTCTATTGTCAGTCCATCTGGCAAACAGGTTTCATAAGCATCAGATTTTATCTGTTAGGATGTTAAAAGCATGAGTAACTTGTACTGTGTTAATTTTGCAGTCTTTTACATTTAGAACAAGAAAACAAGATGTTGATTGCCATAATTCATGTTTGTGGAGCAATTTGCAGCAGCCTTTGCACATGTGCACAGATGCATACTATATTTGTGCTTGCTGGTTCTGGGAAAAACATTTACCCTTCAAAAGTGTTTTCGTAATTATCATACTGAAAACTGGATTCTTTAATTGTAATTACTCTTTTCGTTATCTTGGTTTTAAAGTATTCTAATTCCGATTGGCATGCTAACTTCCCACCAGTGCAGCTTGTAAAGTGTGATTGTGTTCTAATGAGAGGTACAAAGAAGAGAACATAAGAGGAAAGGTTAATAGACTCACTTTTGTAGAGAAGTGCTTAAGTTTCCCCTTCAAATGCAAACATGCACCCTTGTTTTCTTTTGATTTGCACAATATAAAATCATATGTTCACAGGGCCTGGTTGATTTTGTTCAAGGTCTGACCACTAAGAAGAGTTAGATGGAGCTTGGCAAAATCTTCATAGCTGCAGTTTTTAGATTGTTGTATGTTTGAGTCTCACTTGATCAGTAGTTTGTGAAAGTGTTATTGTGAAACCTTAAAAAAAAAAACCCTTGCTGCCTATTTGTTCTAGAATTGGCTTTATTTTCTTTGTACTGCAGTTGACTAGCAGTTGCTATCTCCAGCCCTTTTAAGGTTAAGGAAGCAGTAAGAATGCTAAGGTTTCATTTTGGTAAATCATACACATTTTTCAAATATTTCCTGTATGGAATTTATAAGGAACTAGGAAGAACAAAGAGACTAGACTGGTAGATGGAACAATGTGTAGTGGAGGTGGGGATATTCCTGCTTGTCAAGGCCTCAGCTGAGAGACTAAATGAAGATTGGTGGCCTGTGCACACTCAAGAGTAGTCCCATTGCGATTGGGTTACAGCGCAATCCTTTATATGTCTGTTTAGAAGTAAGTCTCATTATTTCCTGTGGAGCATATTGCTAGATAAAGTAACCATGGCCTTTGCCTGTAGAGATTCTCAGTTGTCCTGACAGATGAACAGTGCACATTTCCTGTTGACCATCATATTTGAGTAATACACTGGTTATACCGCTTGAAAACAAGGGGAAGAGTCCAACTGCATTATAAATGGAGACTTTGCTGAACAGTTTAATGCAAAAGGTAGATTACAGATGGTAAGAGAGGTAGTTTTCTGTACACAGATTCTCTTTTAAAGCAAGTATAATAGCCTATGTGGAGAGTGGGTAAAGCCTACAGGCTATCCACCAATCAGGTAGAACTTTATTGCATTACTGTTCCATCAAGTAGCCAGCACTTTGTGGTTGGTTAACAACATAGAGCTAAGATCATTACATATAAACACTTGAAATATTACATGAACATCTTTTTAAAAATATCCTGAAAGGAAAGACTTTCTGGTAGTGAATGATAGGCATTTTAGCATATGCTATATGGGTCCCATTTTTTCTTTCCCCCATCTTCTAATCAGATTTCTGTTCATCTTCTGTTCATAGCCTGTTTTATATAGCACATTTGTTATCTTTAATTATGAATACATGCATATAAATATCATTTATATGCATGTAATTATACACAATATCTATACATTTCTGTACAGAATGTGTTATAAGCTGTTGCTGATAGCTGTAATTAGCAAAGAGCTTCCTGAATAAACTAGCTAGCAGGCTGGATATCTGGGAGCTTGCTTAAGCTTGATAATGCTTCACATTTTGCACCATCATAAAAAGACTAGAAAAGACTAGTGAATTCTGCTGCCTGTGCCCAGCACTGTGAGCATATAATTGTATGGGTTGATGTATAGAAGAAGAGCCTTTTAAGCAAGATTCTAGCTGCCTGGAGCATCTACATGAGTTTGTGATGTTCAACAGCCTCCGTTAGCCCATTTTAATCCTTCAAATGATGTAGTGTTCTCACCTGTTATTTGCAAAGCTGTTTTAATGTTCTACATGAGTGTTTCTATATTATAGTGCATTTCCTATTTTAAATTGAGGTTTTAATGACTTAGAGTTATATTGGTAGTGCTGATATCTTATAATGCTATAATATGTACTCGCAGAATATTAAACATGTTAATAAATGAACACTTGCTAGTTCTAAATGCTTGTGACATCTTTAGTTCTAGTAACTTAAGGTAGTTGGTGCACTGGTGCTCTTTGTTGCCTTTCCTCCCATCTCAGTTGGCAATTTTTCCCCGTGGTATGTATTATTTGCATAATATGTGATTCCTTTCATGAATATGGATTCAGTGTTTTAAAAAATTATTTTATGCAGTAAAGATTAATTGCTGCAAATATGTACATTATGCACACCAATAAAGAGAAAATGCCTTGAGATGACTCTGTTTCCCATTTGCACAATGTTGAACAATTTAAAGTCTCCTCAAATTCCTACTCAGAAGGAATTGGTGAGGTTTCTTTGATGCATGAATGAACTTGCATAGAATACCTTTGAAAAAAGTGCTATTAATGGAGGCACATGAATGGAAGAATAGCTTGGATGACTGGCGTTTCAAAACATTTGTCCAAGCATTGTTACGATTTGTAGTTTATTAATGAGGCACCAGCTTTTTCATTAAAACCAAGGTAAGTGTGCCACTAAATAGGCAGTCAGTCAATTGAACTCCCTGAACAATATGCATTATTCAGGCTTACTTGTCTAAAGAGACTACCTTTAATGTGCAAAATATTTTGTCACTAGAGGGTGCTAGAATGCAGCTTGGATTATAATAGAACATTTACAGGGGCTTTAATTTTTGACCTAAAGTTAATATATAAATTAGTTCTTGATCTCTGCACTCAGAAGTTTAGATAGAACATTTTTCCCTTCAAGGTATTTCTTTGACAATTGGATTAGTAATAATGTTGACAACATGGTGAGAAGGGAGCTTTTAGAGCAAGCTGAATAAGGGTAAACCAGCTGGAACCCTATCTAGATGGGTCACACCCTGGCAACAGATATACATGTACTTGTTATGTTCAGATTTGACTACTGTAATGAGGTTGACTTGAAGACAAGTTGAAAACTTCAACTGATGCAAAGGTAGCTGCCTGGTCAGGATGGCCTGAGCCTTAGGCAAAGTTACCTCAGGCAGCAGATGCAGGGAGGTGGTAGCAAGGTGTCAGAGGAGAACCCCACACCCCCCAACCTAACTTGCTGCTTTCAAGTGCAATGGAAGATCATCACTGAAGACAAATTTATCTACCAGTCCAGTCAGCTTTAGTACATGGAATGGGAGGGGTGCCATCTTGTTCCTCTCCTCAGGCAGCAAAATTTCTTGAGCTTGCTTAGTGGGCTTCTCTGTTAGTTCAGGTGGGATAACTACATCCTGTTTCAGCACTGTCTGCTTCAGTGGCCATTCTGTCTGGTCATTATTATAAATACAGTGGTACCTTGGCTCACGAACTTAATCCATTCCAGGACTCTGATCATGACCCAAATTGGTCATGAGCCAAGTTAAATTTCCCCATAAGCTTCAATGTAAATGAGGTTAATCCATTCTGTAACTTTTTTTTTTTTTTAAATCAGAAAAATGTGAAGCAGCGAAGTGACAAAGAACAGCAAAGATCGCGGCCATCTCCCCGTCCCCCCCC